AGTGGTAAATATTTATGATGTTTATGTTTCGGTTATTTAATGTGATTTTAATGCCGTTGGCTTCTAGGTTTGGCGTGTCTATTTTTATTTCTTCGTAATTTATATCTTCCCTGATAAATATGATTAGTCCTCCTGCGGCTCTTCTTGTTTTCGGTTTAGCTCTGTCAGTTCTAACTGAGTTGTAGTTAGGTAGTGTGAATTTGGATTTTTTTGAGAATTTGGTTTCCTGTATACAAGCAATGTGAGGGCCTTTATTTAGTTTAAATTTAGTTTTTAGTTCATGGCCGTGGGAGGTGAGTCCGTTGGCGTTCCACTGAAAAATATTTAGTCCTTCGAATATTGGGTTCGGGTGATTGGTGATTTATTTTTTATTTTTTATTTTATTCGGTGAGTTCTTTTAGATGGAGGTTAAAGAGGAAGAAGGGAAGATCGGTTAATTTTAGATTGAAAGCTACTTTGTAGAAGGATTTCATGCTAGCTTTTGGTGAGTTTTGACTATGCATGTATGCTAGGAGTAAGGTGAGGTTGTTTAGGTTTTGGGTGTTGGCTGGTTGGGGAGTTTGGTTTGTTTTAGTTGGAGTAGTGTCTATTGTTTCCTCAGTAGTGGAGAAATCTTCGTCATCGGTTAGATTAGGTTTAGCTGATTGAGTTTCCATGGGGGAGGCATGTGATGTGGAGGATTGTGAAGGTGTTTGTGGGATGGGTGTAGCTGATGATTTCATAGTGTTTGTGTTTTGTTGTTGTGCTTGCTTGTGGGAGAGCGTTGTTACCATATTGGCTGTAGGGTGCTTGGATGAGGGTCGTGTTGTGGTGGTCATTTTGAGGTTTATTTTGCATGCGGGGGTTGATGTTTTGGCTATGTGAGATGTGGGAGGGTTCGTGGTTGGTTGAGTGGCTGCTTGTATGTGTGAGGTGGGTGCGGTTTCTCGGTAGGGGCCCCAGACAGAGCTGTCGGTTATGGGTGTGGTGTTTGTTTGTGGGATGGTGTTTGGGTGTGGTGTAGGGAGGAGTGGTTTAGATGCAGGTGTAGCAAATTTTCGTGTTTGGATTTTAGCCGTGTCTATGTTTATGTGTTTGTTGGCCTGCTGGGTGAGTGTGTGTCTGTATGGGCATTGGTTTGAGAGTGAAGTGTGTTGGGTGGATTTGCAGTGGATGCACCAGGGTGTGCATGTGCCTGGGCAGTCTGTTTGTGCGCATTTTTTACATTTAGTTTTACGGTATGTGCATTGGGAGGCAGTGTGGTTGTATTTGAGGCACTTTGTACATTGCTTAACCTGCTTTATATAGGGTTTGACTTCTAAGTTGGTGTGGGCTCCGAAGGATATGTGTTTGGGGGCTTCAGGGAATTTAGCGGTCTTTTTGAAGTTGATTATGACAATGGAGGTTGGGACCGTTTTTCCGTTTCTAGTTGGTTATTCTACGCGTGCTGGTGATTAGGGGTTGAGGGTTTTGGTCTTGGTTTATGTTAGCTTCTAGAGAGTATAATTGTAAGTCCTCAGTTGTTTCCCTTGGGTTAACCCTAATTACGCCTCGTGTATATTGTTGCCAATTAGGTGTTTGTTTGATTACTGTGACGTGGAATATTTGAGTTATTTTATTTGCTGCGTTGTAAGATTCTCGGTTAGGGAAGATTATCTGGTATCCTTTGTTGGCTTTTTTAATATTGTTGTAATTTATTTTTTCTCTTTTAAACCAAAGTCCTATTTTATCTGCCGAAAGTTCTAGTGAGAGAGTGGTGCCTGAGCCTGCTGAGAAGAAGTAGAGGGCGAAGGTCGTGAGGAAGGCGGCCGGGGAGGGTGTGGGCGATGGAGGTGGAGTGGATGTGTCGAGTTTGCGTTTTTTGGTGTTTTGAGGTGGCGAGTTAGCTGGTTTGGTGGGGGTGGTGTGTGTCGTGTTTTCGCCATACTCGGTCGGGACGATGTTTTCGAGTGACCTACCGGAAGTGTTGTGCGCTTCCGCAGGCGTGGGTGAGTTAGGAGCTGGCATGTCTGCGAGTGTGGCGTTGCGGGTGTCAGTCATGTTGTTTGGAGAGTTGGAGAGCGTGTGTTGTGGTGAGTGGTGGTGGAGTGGGAGTGGTGTTTTGGGGAGGTGAGTTGGTTTGTTGTTTTTACTTGGTGAGTTGTGTTTAGGAGGCGGAGGAGGTTGCGGTGGTTATTTGTTGTTGGTTTTAGTAGGAGGGTTTGTGAAATGGATTAATTATTAAAGATTTATTTTGTTGCTGGAAGGCTGGGATTAGGTGAGACAAGTGGAAAGCGGGGATTAGGAGATATTTAGTCGAAGGAGTGGAGGTATGTGAGTGGTGGGCGTGGGTGGTGAGTAGGAAAGAGCGTGCGTTGTGTTAAGGAGAAGGGGGGATTAGGTGTTTTTTTGTTTTTAGGAGTTGGGTCAAAGGGTGTGTTTGAGTGGTGGGCGTGGGTAGCGAGTAGAAATGAGTGCGAGCTGTGTTAGGGAGATGGGGGAGGATAAGGTGTTGGTTATTTATAAGAGTTGAGTGTTGTTGTTGGTTTTAAGGATTTAGGGGTTTTGTGATTAATTCGGTGAGAGTGATGTATGTGAATAAGGATGAAAGGATAACGTGATAATTACCGATGATGGAGTTTCCTTGGCTGGCTATCAGGCAATGCTCTGTGCTGGCTTGGGAAGTGTTGCTCGCTTGGCCAAGACTCGATTATTTACAAACCGCTGTCCTATAGCTGGAATATTGCTAGGGGCTTGACACACATCCTTACTATATATCTGGCTTGATTACCATATGTTATTCTTAATGTACACCTGGCTTCATCCAATTATCTGTGTGCTTTTGTTATACATTACCTGTTGTTATTGTTAATCTGCTGCTTATCACAACATATCATGTACATATATTCTTATCATTACTTGGTTGTTGTCACCCCAGCTTGATAATGGTGTAAGAATCTACGTCAAAACGTCGCTACATGCAATAAACCAGAAGTTGTTATTCATAAAGTGTCATGTTTTTAGTTATTTTTTTTCATGTACTATAATGCTCTTAATTTCTCTCAAAATAATTTTTTTCCTCTCTAAACATCCTCTCTGAAATTTCCAGACTGAACGTTGGCATGTTTGGTTCTCCGTATGACATCATATTTTGTTAACAAAATTTTTTAGGATGTTTGTGAATTTTTAAAAAGGATTTATGGCATAAAAAAGATTAATCTCCCTGGAAGTTTTATGATGCTGAGAGTTAAAACATTGTGTGAAGTAAATGTAACTGCTGTGTATTGCAAGAAAAATGTTCCACAAAAGTACATTAATCCTTGCAGATAATGAATATTGTGGACCGTGGTCTAGTAGTAGAGCGTCCGCCTGGAGAGCGAAGGTCCGGGGTTCGATCCCCGGCCGCATCATACGTTAAAAGATGGTACTTGTTGTTACCCTGTCTGGCGCTTGGCATTAAGGGGCTAAAACAAGGACTGGTCGGCTCGGAGTCAGTATACTGTGTCTGAGTGGGGTATTTATGTTAAACTGCGGCATGGTATCTCAGTGTGCTAGCACTATAAATCAGCATCAGTCCGGACTAGTACAAGCAGCCACACAAACACACACATGTACATGCACGTCGCTATATAAGTGCAATAACTTTGCTCGTCACTCCAAAGCCTATTACGATTTCCCACATGGTACAATGAGTCTGTCTCACAGTCCCTGAACCATATTATTTCCCCTTCCACCCAGCCCTTTCTGAAATGCAAAGCCCTAAATGAAGCATGTCCAGGTATTCCTCAGGTTCTGAATCTCCCATCTGACTGGGGCTCTTTTTCAATTTAAATGGAGTTCTTTGTTTCTATCAAAATTATATATTTTACCCTCGACTTTAACATTTGTCGAGGGTACAATGTGTGAAGCCCATTTCATGTGTTTGCCTCGGTGATATTGCTGGAATATTGCCTAAAACGGCGTAAACGATACTCGCGCGCTCACAAATTGTTTCATATGTGTTAATACTTTTGTACTCAGTATTCATGCAGAAAATATTTGAGTAGCATTGCTGACTGCAACCTTTTTTTATTGTGTCTCTGTTGAAAATTTACACTGTTGACTTCATGTCCAGGTGAGCGACAGTGCCATGGCACAATTTTTCTCGTTATTTGTGCTTGTTTATCCCTATGCTTTCTCAGCTCTTGAACACTCTTTACTACTCATTGGGTCAGTTGTATAAGATATTACTTGAATACTGCTAAATGTGGCCTTAAACCCAACTCACTCACTCATTGACGTACCTGAGTAAAACCTACCTGAAATATGAAACATACCACAGACCTGATAGTCCACCACATACTGTAAATCTTGAAATTACTGCGAGCGTGAATAAATGCAGAAATATCTATTTATTCCACATCACGTTTTATTGAGCAGTAGTTATAACAAGTATATGCAACAATGCCATTCAAAGAATAGAAATTACACAATGGGCATTCGGATTATGAGTTATCACTGCTGGGGTCAAGAGTTCTACCCACACATGTCAAACTAGGCATAATTGAGTACTTCAGGATTCCAGACAGTTGCCACCCACGCAACACTGCGTCAAAAGCCAACACGACCCAATGAGCACGGATTGGCTTCATCACACTTGTCCTCAGAACTACAGCCTTTGTCTTGTCATCTGCCTTCAAGTTCGTTGACACCTTCTGCTCATACAGATCAGTGAACTGTTGTTGGTTCAATTATTTTGTTGCCTTTGTACTTCCTTTATGCCAGTAGACAGAATAAACATATAAACTGTGTGTTGTTTTTAGGAAGACACTTTTGTTTTGTTTTTTACGGAGTTGCTGTTTGATTGGATAAAAGTAGGTTGGATTAAGATATTGATATATAACATTCCTCTGGGGATTGGGTGTGTGGCATTAATATTGATTTTTGGCTAGGTGTCAGCAGTGGTATTAATTTGGAAACGCATTAATTTCAAGATTTACAGTATTTGATCCCTACCACAGAGTTCAGCCTGGCATGTATAGGCATTGTGAATTTTATTTCAGATGTGAACATAAAGAAAATAAAGGCTCGCTATAACAATCCCAGGTCACTGACAACAAAGTTGGACCTGTCTGCCTTAAGCCAGGAGATAAAACTTCGTCCACCTCATGTCATTCATCCAGATGAGTTCAAGTACGTTGGAGGGAAACATGCTTCACTGACATCATTCAGAACTGCTGGTAAGAGAATAAAGCCAATATTATTTGCATTGAGTGCTAAAAAAATAATGAATGTTGGTTCTCTTCATTCTGTTGTGTTGTAGGTCAGCTGTCAGCAGCATAAAGGATGAATTTATCTGAAAAATTCATAACTGTTTGAACCAAATAAAAACAGAAATAACATAATTCTTGTTAGTATCCAATACTATGCATAAAGAAAAAATTTAAGCACACCCCTATTTCTGAACCATGACAAATGTCAAAAATCATGGCATGAGGATGACTGACCACAGGAGCTGGGCGATACCAATGTCATCGGATAGAACAAACATTTGACAACAAATAAAGAAGGTATTGGTGAGTTGTGATTGAAATTTACTGACAAAAACATCATGGTAACAGAGGTACTGTTTTTGACCTCAGACAATACCTAAAAAAAGTATGGAGCTGCAGGATTAAGTAAACAAGTTACGTTTGATGTATCGTGTGAAAATGTTCCTTAAAGTCTCTACTTGATATGACATGTGAAACAGATCAGTAGCAAGTATAACCGCCACGTGCCCGGATGACGCATTCCACCATACGTCTCATGCCACCAGTCAGACGTTGGATCTGTTGATGGGTCAACAACAACCACTCCTGATGCAATGCTGCTTCCAAATAGCGTAAATTTTGTACAGGAGAATATCGTGCCTGTATGCGCTGCCCCTGAATATCCCAATCATGTTCAAGTGGGTTTAAATCTGGGCTCATTGCTGGCCAGGCTAGAGTCGTTATTGCATTGGCCCTCATGTAATCCATGACTGCATGCAAACAAATGTACTGAGGTCGAGTAGCAAGAGGGTGGTTGTCAAAACGGGGAACGACGACTGGTCTCAAAATGTCCCGGATTTACTGAGCCCCTGTTAAGTTGCCCCTTATGGTGACCAAATCCAACCTGCAATCATGATACACCCCTAAACCATTACTGAGCCCCCGCCGTATGCAACAGTCGGTTTAATGTTCCTGGGGGTGTAGGCCGTGTTCCGGTGCCTCCAAACTCTCGTTCTTCCATCAGTGACATGGAGCAGAAAGCGACTTTCGTCTGATCGATGGATCCGTCTCCAACTTCTCAGATTCCAGTTCTTTCGCGCAATACACCATGCTAAACAAGCAGCTTTTTGGTGATCTCTCAACAAGGGATGCATTATGGCTGGTCTTGCCCTCAGTCCTGCTGCTTTCAGCCGGTTCCTGACGGTTCTGGTGCTGAAATGACGATTGGGCAATCACAGTTGTTTCAGACGAGTGCTTGTTAAAAAAAGGGTTCTCGGCATATGAGACGAAGAAGGTTCCTGTCTTCGCGATGTGTTGTCAAAGGAGGTCTTCCGGATCTGGGACGGTCCTATACATCACCGGTCTGAGCATGTTTCTTGACTAAACGGCTTACAACAGTGTGATGATACCCCAAATTCTGACCAATGGCATTACAAGACATTCCTGCGTTATACATGCCGATTATTTGCCATCTTGTGGCGTTTGATAATCGCCCTCGTGCCATGGTCACACAATGTCATGGAATAACTGTTCAAAACCGAGCTTAAGTAAGCAATTTTAACGTTTGGATATACTGCTTTTAGAGATACTCGAGGATAGCATGCTGAACAGGCATACCATGCATGGCAGGTGAGCTTTCATCACGCATGACTGATGACATCATCTCGAGAAAACATAATTCTTCCCATAATTATATCTTTCATGACTGTTACAAATATGGGGACCAAACAATAATGAAATATATTAGGGTGTGCTTAGCTTTTTTCTTTGTGTATATCTCACAACTTAATAAATATATACTGAACAAAAAAAGTTCCTGTGACATTGAATAAGATTTAATGCAGTTATGTTTTTACCAAATCTGAAACAATTTCGGGTTTGCAACAGATAAAAGACTCCTGTAAGTGTTCAAATGGTTTAATTTGCCATACTGACTCAGAAAATGCGTGATTTCATAAAAAAAAACATGAACATGCCAAAATGTCAATTTACAAATCAATAGCGTGTGTGTCCACCTCTGGTTGCGATGCAAGCAACACACCTTCGTCTCATTGAATGGACCAGGCGTCGCACAAAGTCCTTTTGGATATCTGTCCATATCTGCTGGAACATGTTTCAAAGTTCCTGGAGTGTCTGTGGAACACGTGGTTGACGTTGAAGGCACCGATCTATCTCATCCCACATGTGCTCGATTGATGAGAGATCAGGGAAGCGAGCTGGCCAGGGGATGCCATTCGTGTTGTTTTGTTGAAGAAAATCCTGAACAAGTCGAGCGTATGAGGCCGGGCGTTGTCATGTTGAAAGGTAATGCCTGGGCCATGACGACGCAAAAACAGTAGAACAACAGGGCCGATGATCTCGTCCCAGTAGCTCTGTCCATTGAGATTTCCCTCTACCACTATCAAACGTGTCCTCTGTCTTGCTGTAATCCCACCCCATACCATGATGCTGCCGTCCCCGAACCGATCTTCTTCCATGACACAATGATTGATGTAACGTTTACCCCGACGTCAGGTCACTCAAATCCGTCTATCGCTGTGGATGAGGTGAAAACGAGACTCGTCAGCGAATAGAACTTGTGCCCACTGCATGGCCGTCCAGCGTAGACGCTGTCTGCACCACTGTAGATGTGCTTGATGGTGGTTTCCTGTCAAAATGGGACGACTGGTGGGTCTTCTGGCGACAATCCCTGCACATCTGAGGCGGCGACGTACGGTTTGTGAAGATATTCGTCGAAGGCCAGGGATGCTTCTTGCAGTCACTGTTGCTGGCTGGAATCAATTTCGTAGGTGTGTTGTTCGAATCCAGTTGTCTTGTTGATTATTGCTTACGCGTGGCCTGCCACTCCGAGGATGGTCTCTGACTGCATTCGTCTGTTGCCAACGTTGCCATAAACACTGTGGACGTTAAATTGTCTTGCAAAATCACGTTGACTCGATCCTGCTTTAAGCATACCAATGGCTCGCAGACGCCCATTTTCGGACAGGCGTGGAATTTCGTAATGTTGAAAAATTGCGTAATTTTGTTGTTTTTCTGAGTGGTTGTTGTCAGCATGATGCTAAACAGTGCATATTGAATCCCGTTAACGCACATGTTTTTATACCCATTTTTGGGTAGTGAAATGCATGGGGCTTGCATAAAAGTCAACTTTTCAGTGTTCGCAATAGGTTTTTGTACAGTGCGTGCAGAAATGAAATAATAAATTTTCAATTCAAATATTTCGCGTGTGAAGTTTTTATTTCAATAAAATCAGTACTAGTACAGCTAATAATTATGACCAAGCTTTAACTTACGGTCCAGTTTTGATATAATGAACGTTCAATCATTAATAAAATAAATATGACTGTTGTTAGCACATGCCCTAGTGTGGAAGTTTTCTTCCGTTGCTCTGTTTATGATCGTTCGTATTACCGACTATTACTTGTAAGCTGGGCTCTGATTGGATGAAACAAACCACTTCCGGGGAATTCCATCAATAGTAACCAATGACGTCCTGAGTCTGAGATTAGTTATTCCGTTGCCCAAAGACCATATATGGAAATATGAGTGACATAGTTTTGGCGAGAGAGTTAACATCATTGATTCATGAGGATAAACCTGGGCGAGATTATCCTGTATATCGACACAATGTACAGAGTGCATTACAGTCAACCGACTATGCTACTGACGTCGACTGCTATTAAGATGTAAATAAAAAAAACTTAAACGACTAACAATGAGTTGAATATTACTGTAATATTATTATCCGTGTTAATTTTGTGTACATTCGTATCAAAGAACTTGAATGTTAATTATATTCAGTTCAGAAAAAACAGTCAAATTTACGCAGTATTGCCAATAAGGATAGTCTGATACTGGACAGCCATTGTTCAGCCTGTTTTTTAACATGTTTTTGTAATGTTTGTGATAATGTTTGTGAACTAATTGCAAGTCTATGATCAGCCAAAACACTGTCTGACAAGAGCATTTAGCTGGTATGTCTTACACCCTGTTATGAAAGTGTTGGACATACCAGCCTTTTCACATGCCCTACAAAACATAACTATGCCATCATTTGACGATGTTTGTCTCAGCCACAGAAATTCACTTTCCCATTTGTGTAAATAGTCAGGTGATTTGCGAGCTTTTTTTATTTCGGAACAACTTGTAGACTCACTAATATCAGAATCGGTGTCTGCACTCCGATCTGCTTCGGTATTAGACAGAGTGCTAGGCGACACAAACTGTAACAAAGAGAACTGTTTTGACATCGTGAATCCTGTTTAAGTGTGTGTCACTTGTATTCTAGCAGACGACAACGTTCAAACTATTCATTAACCAATCAAAGCTCCCGTTAAAAGGATCGATTCAAAGCGCCATCTGGCCACATTCTATTTTTAGCAATGGGAATTCTGTAGCAGTTGCAGTTTTGTGACTTGATTCCATACATGTACTACAATATTGAAAACCAAACTTTACTTGTTTCAAAAATACACTAAAATAATGGTGTCACAGGAACTTTTGTTGTTGAGTATACTACTATCCTGCTATGCAGTATCAAATATGCTTCTTTGTCATCGAGGTTCATAACATTGAGTGAAAACTCTTACATGAACACATCCTGGACCACAGAATGTCATTCTTCTCGCTCAAACTTTGGTGTCTTCTCCTGTTATGACATTGACAAACTAATGGCCGGTACATTGTCTGCAATTGGTTTTCTAAACCAATTACAGACAAGACATTGAAGAGAAATGTGACAGACGTAAACGTAAATTCTGTGTATGTGTGTGTGTGTGGGTGGGGGGGTGTGTAGATGCAAAATTCATAATTTGTGGAATATTATGTGAACATTTTATTCATTTTTCTAATCATTAGCTTTTCATGAACAACTGTACTTATATTCATTCATGAGGGGCGGTCGGGTAGCCTAGTGGTTAAAGCGTTCGCTCGTCACGCCGAAGACCCGGGTTCGATTCCCGACATGGGTACAATGTGTGAAGCCCATTTCTGGTGTCCCCCGCCGTGATATTGCTGCAATATTGCTAAAAGCGGCGTAAAACCATACTCACTCACTCACTATATTCATTCATGAAGTGTTCTGGAAGTGTTGATTACTGATTCAGGAACAGTTCAGGAACTAGAATGTTTTTTCTTTGTTCATGAACTGTTCAAATGCTCTTGACCAAGTTCGTGAACTTACCATATGAACTTTTACTGAACAGTTCATGATGATCATAAACAGTTCATGAACAGCTCATTATTTGAACAACTCACTTTCACAGAGGCAGTCACCATTGTTAATAATTCAAAGAATGCTACCCCAAGTACACCTCAAGGACTCCCACCACCACCCAAATTACCTGAATCTAGAATTTAGATTATGGAAAGAAGTGAGATTTTCCCACCTTTTGCATGTGTGTGAGGCAAGGGAGGTAAGATACTATTACTTGCAAAACTAATTACATGTATGAATAGTTGACAGTGAAGAGGACTTCTGTTGAAAATCTGAAGATTGTTTTAGTGTGATGACAAGCCAAATTATGGGTATCAGGCATTGATGTAACAGAGGTTGTATGCTTTGAAATATTAACAATGATAACTATTGTTTGGTATATTTTCTCCCTTGCACATAAAGTGTCAATAAAATAACCAGCTTCTGCAAGAATGTTCTGGACTGTATAGTATTTGACTAAATTGATACCTTTCTGACTATACCCTCAAACATTTCATGAAGATGTTTGAATTTACAGGAAGATAATTGAATTCACAGGACATTGCCTTGTGATATAAATTGTTTTGGAACATGTAGAAATCACTGTGATTCTATTGTGACGATTAAAAATAAAACTATTCTTTTACATCATGATAATGTTCATTTACAGCTTCATCAGGTCGGCATTTCGTCTCACTTGACCTCTATGGTTGGCTGTCGGTGGGGATGAATATACTGTGTTCATTTCTCAATCTCACCCGTGGTGTCAGCATCATGAACGATGGCCATATAGATGTAAGCAATCCATGTTCCTGCTAGATTGCAGTATACCAGATACCTTCCATCATCTTTGTAATGGATGTTCACAAACTCCTTTCTTAGTAATGGTTTCTATGTTGTTCAGCTGTCATTTTTAACCGTGTTGCTAAATTAATTAAATTGTGGTCATTCTCCGCACACAAGCCGTTGTAATAAATTCTTTCATAAGTAAATAATTTTCAGTCACCAAAGTTAATAAAACATGCTACATGTGTGTTGAAATGTGGTCCCAATGCATGTAACTGATGAGGCTGCCGCATGCCACAAGGGAACTTCTATTTTTTAGAAATGTTTTTTTGTTGATGTCTGATTTTCGATGTTTAGTAATTGCTTTGATACTCAATTTTGGAGTTTAATCAAATGCTTGTTTTAAAATTTTATCCCACATTTTGCAAAGCGACACTGTCACAGGACACATTATTAGACGCATCAAACAAATATGGTGGACACGTATCCGGAATAAAATGTTCCTCATCCATCTGCTTCGCAATTGCCCAAAATGTTATTACTATTTCTTCTCACACTGTTGGTGTACATACAGTGGACACTCCCTTATCCTGTCTCTCTGATTTTTTCGAAGGGAAAATACTAGGCTCCACCAACAGCAGTCTGACCTATAGGAAACGTAATCTTTGGTCAGGAAGAATGTATTTATAAACAGTACACTATATCAGTTTATGTCATCCCAGGTTGAAAGAAGATCAAAGACACTCACCCCCAGCAATATGCCTCATGTTAAAGCTTTCACATGGATAGGTAGACATGTCCTTTGCTATGATTACCTACAGTTTTTCGAGCTATTATCATTATTCATGCTGAGCAAAATGAGTTGTTGTTTTTATCAATTGTTCCTGACTTTTTGTTCATAAACATTCATGTTGGTCATGGGTGTATTTGATGTATTTGGTATATTATGTGGATTTCTTTTCAGAGCCTAGACAGTGAATCATTCCAGTATGCTGTTGCCTTTTTTCTATGCTTCTTATTCTTTGGTTATCAGGTAAATATATCTTGATTGATATTGGCTTGATAAAAGTATGAAAAAAATTGACATCTCAAATAAGACTATTACTCACTCTGGCACTGTCAAACACAATGGTTAAAATAATACTTTGGATGTGCATACTCCAAGACTTGGCCACACTTTTTGCGATTGTGATCTGTCTGCACTATGTCTGTGGTAAGGCAAAGTTTGGCCTTTCCACAATAAACTAACAAATCATGGTTTCACCATCAGATGAGGGGCGGTCAGGCAGCATAGTGGTTACAGCGTTAGCTTGTCACGCCAAAGACCCGTGTTAGATTCCCAACATGAGTACAATGTGTGAAGCCCATTTCAGGTGTCCCCAGGCATGATATTGCTGGAATATTGCTTAGAGAGGCGTAAAAACCAAGCTCAATCAACCCATACCATCAGATGTAACTGAAATGCCTAAGTGGCTTTACTTCAATTCAAGCCAATTTTTTTCATTAGTTGGTTTAGTTGAAATAAAATCACTTTCTTTTATCCCCCACCCAAACAGACTTTGAAGGTGATCTTGATGTCCATCATTCCATCATGCTGTGTTTCCTAAGCATGTAATATTGCTTCATGAAACTTGGTATACATATGAGTCATGCGCTGAACTGATCCCTTTTGCTTTTCAGGAATTATTTTTCTTTATTTTTTTGTGTTTCCAAGGCAGTAAGTTTGATTTTAATTCAAGTGAGAGTATAGTGCCCATGTCCTGGCTGATGAATTCGCGGAATTGTGATTGAGTCTTACATGGAGGCCAGTGCAGACTCAAATGTTCTTACACAACATCCTCTTCACAAACTCTTTTGACTCGTCAATATTTGCAAGTCTGAGACTTATAGTCAGCTACTCCAGTTTATCGATGCCCTTTTCAACACCCGCCTGGGCAAGATGTTACTCCCTCTGAATCGATTGTCAAAGATTCAACGCCATATGCTGCAAGCACTCGAACAACGGCCGATGTTAGGGAAATGGCAGCAGATCCTTGGTGTTTTGACTTTGGTGCAAACCCTCACTTTGAGGGGTCAACTTCACCTCCGCCTGATTGTGTATTTCCTTACGCCCTTCATCCAGATCAATGATTGCCAGACATCTCCTGCCACTTCATCTGCGTTCGCATCTTCAGTGGTGGCTAATAACAGCAAACAGCAAATGTTTGGGACAGTCTCTTTGAGGCCGTTCGTCCTGACCTATGCATCTTCTTTGACACATCAACCTAGGGAGCACACTTCCACGGTCTACAAGTAGTAGGGTGTTGGCCCATGTGGAGAAAGGCATCTTCACATCAACAACCTCGAGTTCATGGCAGTCAAGTTCAAGGCAGTCATCCCATTGGTCAGAACTCCTCCGTACGTCCCACCTAATGATCCAGTCGGACAACATGTCGGTCGTTTGGTTCATCAACAAGATGGGATCCACCAAGTCAATGTCAAACCTGTCGCTCTCAATTGACTTCTTCTGGTTGATCAACTACCTCGACATTCAGGTTCATGCCGACAAAGAGTTTGAGTTGATCACTTTCAAGACTGTTTTTAACTGGCATTTGAAACTGCTTCACGTGTTAGCGAGATCCATGCACTGGGCTCTCGATCATCCTGCGGGCTTTGAGCTAGGCAGATTGCCTCCACCTGTTACGTCGAACCTGCATGAGACCCCAGCAGTCACTTGGCTCTCTCTCCGCCATTGTGGAAGGGTGTTTTTGGAAGTCAGACAGGGTCTTCGCTTCCCACTATATCCGTGACATAACCGGCACAGACGTCCAGGGCTTGAATCAGTTCTCTCCCTTGGTCCTGGCACAGCAGCTGTCAACTGCACACCAGAGCAGATAACTGATGCTTGTACCCGCTCCTTAGTACCGATGTGTTGATGTTCTATTTCCGATGATGTGGGGAAAATTTCCAAATTTTTTGGTTTGCAAGTTGGCACAGCAATATTTGTTAATGAAATGGCATCCGATGTTATTTTGTGCAGTTCAATAAGATGTTCTTATTCAGGAAATACCCCTGATGGTTATAGTTTGATAATAATAATAATAATAATAATAATAATAATAACAAAACAACGTATCCCTGAAGTGAAAGCATTTTCGGATTTTGGATTGCGTGGATAATGCGATTGCTACTCCCTTGTTGTCATCCATGTTTCCTGAAATAACCATACGCCTGTGTATTTATTGTTATTTACTTGAACCTCAGTTAATGAGTTTATTACAGGTATAATTAGTGGTAGCTCCAACCAGATAACCTGACAAAAGTTCCCATTTCGCATTTCTTGTGTCTGGGGTAATTATTTAATCTGAATCCCAGTTTGAAGTTTGGTGAAATGTATGTTATGTAATATGCTAGCCCAGCAAGCGGAGTGATCAGTTGATTTACAAAAAAGTCATTCCTCGCCATCAAAGGATCAGCAGAAAATACGTTGATTGAATAATCACTGTTATTTTGCACAGTGGATTTGTCAAAAGTAATTGATTACATGTGTATGTTTACTAAAGCAGACGGAATACCCCCATCTCTGGGCATGAAGTGCCGATGTAAAAGCAACATACTTTGTTCAAAGGATTAGCCGATAAAACGTTGATTGATTGTTCATTGTTATCTAACAGTGGACATTATGAAAATAGTTGTCAAGTGGGCTTTCTCAGCTGACCTTTGAAACTTGACACTTATGTGAAACACCTTGAACAAACTAAGGGATCAGCTGAGAAACGACCACAGGTTATAATATCCCAAAAAGCTATATATATTTTTAAATATTTGATTGTTACAGAGACACGTGACATCGAATAAGTTTATTTATACAGCTGCAGACGTATGGGATATTGTTACTTTATGTGGATATTCACGGATACATTCCTCGAACAAGGTAGCTGCCTAAATTTATACATATAACTTTGGTAGGTTGTAATTATGATACTTGCATTTTGTTTTCATTCATTTGCTGTTTTCTTTGGGAACTTCTTCGATGTGAGACAGACTTTGTTTTCACAAGCTTCACGTTTGTTGATCAATGTGACTATACGCCCTTACACTATCAATAATAGCGACAAATGCACTTAAGAATGACGCAGCACAGGTCGCGAAGTAGTCCAGATTTCTGCTGTATCATCCAGATACTCAAAGGGAAAAACAATAACAAAGGCAACAACCAGTCCCGGAGAATTGCTTTAAATCAGTGCCCCTTTAAAAGTTATAAAGGATAAAATGTTTACTCATTTGCAATCCTTTTTACATGATGTTGAATTTATGGCTGATTGCAATTATCAATGTCTCATATGGTATAATAAATGGCCCATACTTGCAAAAAATGGCCCATAAGTCATGGGGCTATAAGTGCATGAACCAAATTTCTTTTCCAATCACTGTATTCAAATGAAATATTATGCATGACACAACCCTATTGGGTTCACAATAGGGTCACTTTTGCATTTATGCGCAACTCACTGTAAATACAAAATTCAAAGTTTGAGGGTTTATTTTGTTGTATGTCAAATACGGGAGCCATCGCAAATCACACAACATATACAGTTCCTCAAACACACATTGTAGACTTCATGAACACCATGGTTCCTCTTCATTTACATCAATACATCAGTTTTCCCAATTCTCCACCACGTGCGTTCATCACAACAAGTGTTTTTTTCTTACTAAGGGAGATAATTCTATGAACATATGTTCTGTGCATACCACTAAGAATATCTCGTTACGTCGCTTTCTCCTACCGCTACGCTCCCCCTTAAAATTAGGTTAATCTAATTTTCAAGCATCTAACATCATAGTCATATTTGCACCTACAATGACTACCAACATATGACAAGCGACATAATACTTCATCACAATTCACTTAATCTGTGATTATTGCGACATAACTCTTACAATAAAATAAGACCTCACATCAACTTGATCATCGTATCCCAATTGCGTGGGTTGATGCTCATGATGTCAATCACTGGATTGTCTGGTCCAGACTTGATTATTTACAGACCGCCGTCATATAGCTGGAAAATTGCGGTGTGTGGCGTTAAACAACAAACAAACATTAACAATATTAAATTATAGCTAAAATGTTGTAAAAAAATGTCTTAAAAAGATCAGTTCAACTAGAACTGAATACAAAATGTTCAAGGCAACTGTTCATGTCATCATGTCAGTTATTTTCACACTCCAGGAGAAGTATCAACTTCTGGATCAGACGAGCGAGATAGGCAATGGATGCTTGCCGTTTTCCCTTAGAGTCCAATGTTTGATCCGCAATTTGCAGCTTTACTTTACGAACATGTTCATCTTTCCTGGGAAATGTCTCAACAACTTTGCTGGGTCTTCAGATTTTGAAGAACATCCTTCTTCTATCTGGACCAAAACTCGCACTCACACTCGACACCATTGCTAACAAGCATACCAGTCCGTCTTCTGGAAGTTTCCAGGGGGAGGCAGTATGATCTGACTCTTCTTTGTCAAAAAGTGGTTAGCTGTCAGATAATGAAGAAGGATCATTTAAGGATTCTGTTGATAGTTGATGTCTATTCATAATGGCTGTCGCCTCGCACATCAAAATTCTGAGAGATTCATCATTCAGTTGTTGACTGGGTTGATCTATTTGTGCAACAGGCACTGCACATACAGACCAAATCTGCCGCTCCCATATACCACCCATGTGGCTAGCAGCAGGTACATTCATCTTGAATTCAACCAAGTCACAGTTAGATTTCATAAGGTAATCTCTTACTGTATCATTCTCTAAACAGTCCCTCAATTCATTAGAGGCACCAACAAAGTTTGTTCCTTTATTGCATCGCAGTTCTCGCTCTGGTCCCCTTATAGCTTGAAACCTTCTCAAGGCGTTAATGTAAGAATCGGTTGAGAGTGATGATAGAACTTCTATATGTATGGCACAGCAGGCTAAACATGCAAAGAGGACTCCATAACTCTTCTTAGTTTTCCGACCATCTTTAACCAGAAAGGGTCCAAAGCAATCCACTCCGCAGTATGTGAACGGTGGTGATACGTTGACCCATTGGATGGTAGATCTGTCATCTGCTCATGGACCAGACGGTGAAGCTTTCTGCATTTCACACATTTGAATATGTAAGTAGGCACTGCCGAGCTGCATCCCACTATCGAATAACCATTGGATTGTATCTTTTTCGTAGTCATTCCACGTCCTTGGTGACATGTCTTCTCATGACAATAACGAATAAGAAGGTGGGTCACATGCTGTCTTTTTGGTAATATCACTGGATGTTTCTCATTGCAAGTGGCAGAGGACCATCTGATTCTACTTCCCACACAGAGTACACTGGCGTCATCCAAGAAAGGCGAGACGGGAAACTTGTTCTCTTCAGTTCTTTGGATGCACTATGATTTTTCTTCAAAGACCTCAACAATCTTAGATCATCTCCATAGGTATTTTGTTGAACAAGTTTCACAATCTCACACTTTGCTTCCTTTATGTCCATCAGAGTAACATTAGTCCGACACTAGTTTCACAGCTAGCGATTCGCTGTGCAGAGTTGCATCCCTTGGGCACGCCAGAAACCTATGATTGTGGGTTTCGAATCCCGGTTCGCCTCGATTATGTTTCTAGGTTTGTCAGCACCATACCCGTGCTCGTGGGTTTCACCGAAGTGGTAAACGTCTGAGACCTGCATCACTTCGGGCTTTCCTCCCACATTAAGCTGACAGGCCGCGATATAACTGGGATACTGTTAAAAGCGGCGTTAAACCCAACTCACTCACTCACTTTTCTGTTTCAAATTAATTCTCAGCTTTATATTTAGTTTCAAGCACATCACAACAACACCCTTTAATCTGAACCAATCTGAGAACAACTCAAATCGACAATGAAACACTTTTCATGACAACAATTGCTTCTTCCATATCTCTGTTTGACCTGAAATTCAGTCAGACACAAGCAGGAAACTTAGCATAAAAACTGGTGTTGATTTGCATTTGATTTCATTACCTAAACAGAGGGAGTAATTGGCCTCAATATTCTGGTCTTGGCAGAAACATCCACACCTCAATTTGAGGGGGAAAATCCCCCAGGAAAGAACTGGCCAGGTTAATGTTCAGGCCTGTTACACCGGCAAGATTCAAGATCTTAGCAGACAGTCTCTCCAGGAAGAACAAGATTGTTATGTCAGAATGGTCCCTCCATCCAGACATATTCATGTGGATAACTTCACAGGGTGACACTCTGCTGCCTGACCTACTTGCCATGTGCCTGAACAACAAACTCCCTGTTTACATCAGTCCGGTAACAGATCCACAAGCCCTACCAGTGACACAATATTCATGAGTTGGAAAGAAATGTTTGTCTATGCATTTCTCCCATGGTCTCTCCTAGACAAAGTCATAGACATGGACACTATTCCGTACCTGCTCTGAACCAAATTGTAAATCTCGCCAATTTACTTCTATGTCCTGTATGTGCGCTTAAATCTATCTGGTGGCAACAGAGCCTTCTGGAAGACATGGAATCCTTCCAAGCAGGTTCCATTGAAGACACCACAGCTACTGCTGCAAAACCCCGCCAAGAATGACAAATGGTTGATCCCTAATCATTTGTCAACGGCGGGTAGGGCAGCTCATGGGCTTGGAATCCCAATTATGGAATCATCAAATCCTTCATAACCGGAAGTGACGTCATTCAAACACGAAATGACATCATTAGAATCGGAAATTATATCATAACATACCCGTGAAGATCCAGGGTAGAATTAGGTCTTCTGCAACCCATGCTTGCCGTAAAAGGCGACTTTGGTTGTCGTAAAAGGCGACTAACGGGATCGGGTGGTCAGGCTCGTTAATTAGTTGATGTATGTCATCATATACCGATTGCGTGGATCGATGCTCATGATGTCAATCACTGGATTGTCTGGTCCAGACTCGATTATTTACAGACCGCTGTCATATAGCTGGCATATATGCGATGTTAAACAACAAACGATGTCAGAACAGGAAGTGATATTCACGGGATAATGATGTAATTATGACCTGAATTGACCTCAGCAGAACCCGGAAGGGACGTCATAAACAGATAATTCCACTGAATTACTGTCATATTGCCTCAAATGACGTCACTACCGGTCCAATAACAAATATTGAATCTTTCAGAGGTTATGTTCTGATTCTATACTTTATGGTGGCTTCAGAGTTTATGGAGTACATCCTTTATTAATAAGGTTTCGCTGTAATCTGTCCTAGGATTACTAGATGTCAGAACGAACCATTTGTTGAAGCTAATCTTGCAATGATGTAATGGAGGTATGGTATTCGCTGGCAAGCAATAGTTATCATTGTTAATAATTCTAAGAATACCACCTGAGGAATAATCCCACCCACCCTCTTAAATTATCTGCATCTAGTTTGAGGTGGGATATTTGGAAAGAAGCTAGGTTTTCCTGCCTGTTGCATGTGCAGAACGGACCCGTGAAGATCCGGGGTAGAATAGGTCTTCAGCAACCCATACTTGCTGTAAAAGGCGACTATGCTTGTGGTAAGAGGTGACTAACAAGATCGGGTGGTCAGCCTTGCTGACTTGGTTGATGCATGTCATCAGATCCCATTTGCGTGGGTTGATGCTCATGATGTCAATCACTGGATTGTTTGGTCCAGACTCGATTATTTACAGACTGCCGTCATATAGCTTGAATATTGCTGAGTGAGGCGTTAAAAAACAAACAAACAAACATGTGCAGAACAATGGTGGAGGAAAACTATAATCCACACAACTAATTAATGTCGGTGACAGTGAAGAGGAGTTCTTTGAAGATCTAAAAGAGTTTTATATTGTGATGACTGATTATAGAGATAGTATTCTTAGAATTATTAACAATGATCAATATTGTTTGATTTCTGCTGCTTGCCTTAGGATGCTTGTTCCCAAAGGAAACTTTGTGAACTCATGATTTTGCTTTGGCATTATTCTGAAGTTCTTTAGCGTCTTGTTCAGCCGTTACCTAAGCAATTCACTGAATATTTTCTTTTTTCAAACCACACGTAAACCTGTCTCTGGGCATACGATTTAAATTTGTGCCAAATTCACAATGTTGGGTCAAGCGTTTCAGTTCTGCCACATAGGAATTTACACTTTCACCTGAATTCTGGTCTCTTTTATGAAACAAAAACATTCAAAAAAGTTTGGTGACCTGTAGAGTTTTCATAATCTGGGCAAAAATTTTATTTGATGGTTTAACTGGAGATGGTAATTTTTTCCACGGCAAATACGTTTTTGCTCCCATGCACAGTAACCAAAAAAATTGTGCATTTCAAATTTTTGTCATTTACACCAAACAACGCTGCAGTGTGTTCTACATAATTTTTGCCAATTTTTGGCCAAGTCATTATATTCTCCCAAGGTTCCACAGAATTAGCCATACTTCTGAGTATATACCCCAAATGTTCTGCAGTGAACACTCCCAGATACCAAAGAAATATTGGATCCTGATGCACATGTCTCTCTTGCTCGCCCTTTACTGATACAGAATTGTTTGCCACTGCAGTGCAGACTGTGTGAATCTATGCTAGCTGAAGGCACAGGCTGACCAAGTCAGCTGACGACCCGCAATACATTGTGAGACCCTGTGATTTCATGATGGCAAGGCAAGCTACAAGGGGGAGCATCTTATAACATTGTGTTGTGCGCACACAACACTGACCTTGACAAGTGGCCTTGAACATTGACCCTCAGCATTATGTGATGTCTCTACACTAGAGAGTGATGATAACAGTTTAACGTCAATCGGCAGAGATAGGAGTTTTTATTTCTCTTATAGATAGATTGATTATCTCACTTTCAGTTAGATATAATAGGATGTGAGTTTGGTATCGCGAGAACCAGAGAAATAGATCCAGGGGTTAGTGTTGTTTGACCGAAATGTGAGCCCTGGAGATATAGATGATGATTGTTTCCATGATTATATCCCAAGTGTTAATGGACAAGGGTGTTGTAATTTGGCATGAAATTCAACATTCTGTGCTGTTGTCAGAAACCTATGAGCAGGATGCATAAACCACTCGGTACATAGAATATTGATCTTGCACATTAAGTATTCAGTTATGCTGCTATCCCCAATGTCATGTGTGGGAATCATAATGTTCACTAATACAACTCTTCTTTCCCAACAGGTGTACTTGATTTGCTGCCCTATCGGTATGAGGAAGCCTCTTGCCTGTGCCACACTCGGGAGCATCTGTCTGTGCCAGCTGTATCTGTGGGAACATCGGACTAGTGTACAAATGCTGTTTCATGTCACTGTAGGCTGTGCAGCCACCTTTACTATATTCACCAGACAGATTCAAGAGAAGTTACCTCAATATAATCTATGATGTGGTGTGTTTCTGATGTGAAGATGAATTATTAGATGATGGAGACATCATACCCCAGTACAAGCAGTCAGGATGTATGTATGTGTGATTCTGTTTTTGGTCCATGTTAAGGATGTTACTGTATATGGTTGGAATACAAGTGAAATAGGTACAGAATCCTGATGCAGAAGCCTCAAGTGACAAAACAGAAACAGGTTCTCAGGCAATTACTTTTGTGCCAGCACATGACCACATGTTTGGGCTAAAAAAGTGCTACCCTGGTAAACAAATTTCCATTCAATTTCTGAACAAGCTATCTGATTTTAGGCTGCTGAGAAAGTTAAATAAGATATCACTCTTGTAAATGAATTTTGCCATGTGATACTTTGTTCTTTTTCTATCTTGCTCTCATTTTCTTGCTTCCACTTAAGCGTTTCAGTACACTCAGTACTGGCTCTATCACGTCAACAATTGAGAAAAATATGGACATACAAAAAGATACATCAACCTTGAAATTTACAAAAACATTAAATGTTGACAAGAAATGAAACTAATGGATAATGTCATGGTTGTATACTGTATAGTTTCAAAATACACAAAACACAGTTGCTGTGCTGGGGGAACATTAAACTAGGTTCTCATATGTCATTTTCTGGTTGACGTGTCAGTTTTACAACTTTCTGTGAATAAATAATGCACAGCGCGTTGATAAAGTCATCCTTGTTTGCACTAAATCTGCTGCCATTGAAATATTTGTATCTTTAAGCATATTTTGGAACATATTATTGAAGTCAACATACAAACTATTCCTTAAAATCTTCAAAAATATATAGATTACATGTAAAAAATTATCAAATGTTTGAGTAATTATATTTTATAAGCTTATGGAAACCTTCTATAATTAATGAGTTTTCAAAACTGAAATCAGTCAAAGCGTATTCAAAAACGTTCGCTGCGTCATATCAAAACACGTTAAAAGATGGTCCTTGTTGCTACTCTGCCTGGTGCTCAGCATTAACGTGCAAAAACAAGGACTGGTCGGCTCGGAGTCAGTGTACTGCATCTGAGTGGGGTATTCATGTTAAACTGTGACATGGTATCTCAAAGGGCTAGCACTATAAAATTGGCGTTAGTCCGGACTAGCAGCCACACACACATACACACGTTCATGCACTTTGCACGTAAGTGCAATAATCTTTGATGTGACATTAAACGCTATTTCACCTCACCTGAAAAACGTTCAATTAGTAATGCATACCTACTGTCATCTGTGCACCCAGTGGGAATTCCAGGGAAGAACTGGTCCCAGCAACATAAATGTTGATTGTTTCATCACACCCCAACGGAGTGGATCAATGGTCACAATATCAATCCCAGAATTGTCTGCTCTAAACTAGATTATTTAGAGGCCGCTGTCTCATAGCTCAAACATTGTTTGTGAGGCGTGAAACACCTAAACAACAACAACAAAACTGATGTCTGTAAAAAAGAGTCTATTTGAAACATTGTCCCTTTTGAAATTGATACGAAACTCAGAACTGTTTGATTTGCATTCTAGTCGTAAGTTGGTGGGTATAAAAGAAAACGTACAACTTTATGGATAACAACTTCTGGATTATTGCATGTAGCGTCATTTTGATGTATATAGATTCATACACCGTTATCAAGCTGGAGTGACTAGAACCAAATGAAGCGAGGTATATGTGCATGTTATGTTGTGGTAAGCAGCAGATTAACATTTACAACAGGTAGTAGATAACAACAGATGATTGACTGAAGCCATGTATACGGTAAGAATAACAAATAGCCCATAGGTAATGATGCCAGGTGTATTGTTAGGATCAAATGTAACAGGACACAGATCATCACTCATCCTCTCACATTGCTAAGAACCTTCATGCTTCTTTTGCCAAGGCTACCCAGACCCAGGGCTTATCAACACCAAACTTCAACGCAAAGAAGTTTCCCTTACATGCATGGATGCTTTTCTCCTGGTCTCAGAGATCAATGAAGATAATACTTTAATGTCTTATTCCAAAAGTAGGACATATCGTGTTGATGAGAAGAAGTTAGCACAACTGTACATGTATACAAGAACTAGACATTCCTTCTTTTGCCTTTTCATGTCATGCTCCATTAATAAAGCTATGCTGACTGCCTCAGAGATTCCTCAGAATAACCAGGAAAGGATGTTTCTATCTGAAATGATAGCGCACATAAAGAATCAAGAATTGCTCAAGTGTCTGCTTAGGTTTAAAAAAATAAAGAATTGGTTCTCAGGCAATGGGTCATGACAGGATTTGACTACTATTGGACTTGGAATATTTAAGGATTTTGTTGAAAAAAAACCTTAAAATGGAAGTAAAACCGAAACGTGCGGCGAACTTGATGATGATGTGGGCGGATGGTTGAGAACCTTTTTTTTTTTTAGCCTTAACTCACTTTTGATAGCCAACTTCAATTTTTTGACAATTAAGCCAAGCCTCTTCTGCGTCAGTCATGGGATTCCTCTTCCATCTTTGATAGTCTCATTCACAGCATCAACAAAGAAGTGAACCAAGATTCTGAAGATCAGTTGATGTCCTAGACAACCAATGCAGAAGACACAATTCAAAAGGCGCTTCTCTGGTATACAAAAGCAAAGAACAATCGCTCCACCGGCTATCAAGGAGGCAAAACCACAGCCCATCAAAGACATGTGATCAGTCCAAAGGATCCTGCGCCCGTTGTTGAAGGGGAGCTGTTGAACAACTTGGACCTTCCACTCCAAGCCGTTCAGTACTGCAATCAACTGTAAGTGGAAGACTGGCTGGATATTGGAGCAATTTTGGACATCCGTGACCACCCTTTCATATCAAACATTCTGAGAAAGGGCTACAGTCAAATTTTATGCGAGGAACCCTTTCTCTCTCTCAGTCCCCTGATTATTCAATTTCCGGAGGCACTGCAATCCACACCGACAGATGCAATCGGCACACTTCTTGCGTAGATATAGGACAACCAGCTGTCCTAATTTTAGACTTATATTCACCTGTCTCCTTAGTCCCCAATAAGCAAACAGACAAGAAGTTTTGTTTAATCTACAACATGAAAGAATTCATCAAGAAATATCTTCAAAAGCCAGACAAGTTCAAAATGATGCATCTACTACAACTAAAACAAATGATAAAACAGGATGATTACCGGTATCCCAAAGAATTTCAACGGCACGTGGTTCTACACGTTGCTCTTTCTACTTGGACTACTGGATTCAAGCTCATCGACACGTTTTGTTTGTTTGTTGTCTAACGTCGCACTATTCCAGCTGTATGGCGGCAGTCTCTAAATAATCGAGTCTCAACCAGACAATCCAGTGATGGTGCTACTCAGGCTACCACTGAATTTCGCTCTGAAATTACTAACAGTCAGGATGGTAAGTCAAATCAGAAGTCCAAGCTCCATCCATCACAAGATCTCATGTTCTGAAGCAGAATCAAAATCCAAAGTTATCTTCCAGCAGCAATTCACAAACAAATGTCGGTCAACCACTGGCATATGGCCAAGCTCGGCAAGTACGGGGCAGACATCACCTGTATCCCATTGAAAGATTCCTCAAACCATTCTTAGATTATCAAGAACCCAAACTTCCACAACACCTGAAGAAACATCTCCAATGGTTGAAAACGTTTGCGGAGGAACTTACTTGAACAAGCCGGAATACAAATAGATACCTCACTTCAAGGATGGGATGCCCACCTCGACTCTGAAGTAGCGTTGGGGATGTGGTCTGCAGAAGATAAAAGCTTTTCCACATGAACCACATAGTTTGAGGCAGTAATCCGGGCAATATATCAATTGGCACCACAGTTGAGAGACATGAATCTGATGATAAAAACAGACAAATCAACTTTGGCCTAGGATCTATCTAAAATTCAAAGCAAGGTACATCCCAGAGCCTCAATACCATCACCAACAGAATGGATGCCACATCCATAAGCATTCCAACTCGCGAGATTGCCCATCGATGGATCTATTCACAACCTGGTTCAACAGACAGATAGTAACCTTCGTCTCCCCAGTACCAGACCCTCAGGGTTGGTCCACATCTGATACCAATGGTTTTACAGAAGATGATTCATACAAAGAACCTTCAACTGTTTTTGGTTGCGCATTAGCAGTAAAACCAACTCAAAAGCTCACAAACTGGGCAAATTAACTTCTTCATCCACACTCAAAGCAACTTCTTTCAATACCAGATCTTTATGAGCTACACATTAGAAGCATATGACAAACAACCTCATAAGACAAGGCAACTTGACCAGGGCAGCTAAGGCAGTTAACTTAGCACTTTGTTGATCCGCAAGGAACTTGTGTGAAGACAAGTGGAAAAGATTTGACCAGTTTGCAATAACTAAAGGGTTCACAGCAGCAGAAACTACCTCACCACAAGTTGCGGATTTCTTGTGTAATCCTCAAGGGTTCAACCCTAGGATATTATTTGGCAGCGATCAGCTCCGTCTTAACTGTGACTAAAAGAGAAAAAGTCACCTGAGATTCCCAACTGACAGCCCTACTGAGATCCTACAAATTTGGGGATCAACAGAAAAGGTTCAGAGCTCCAGCTTGAGGTTTAAACATAGTGCTGCAACATCTAACATGTGATGTTTCCGACAACTAGAATAAGCTGATTTCGAACATCTGACACAAAAGACTTTTCTCCTGGCGCCAGTCACAGGAGCCAGAATGTCAGAAACAAATGCACTCAACTTCAGTTTCCGTTGAGATTGGGGTAGAAAAGGTCTTCAGCAACCCATGCTTGTCGTAAGAGGCGACTCTGTCCCTGGGAACCATTACCTCAGGGACTTCGCTGCAGAAGATGTCACTACTGGCATACATCAATTCGAACCATTTATAGAAATAGCTCAGCAACTAACTGTCCCCAGGAGACGATACTTTCCAATAACCACTGACCATGTTCCCCATTATTACAATGTAATTCAGACCATGAGTGATAATGGCTGTCCGAAGATTGTCCTTCTCTTTACCCTAAAGTCGTTTCTAAAGCAAGCTGGAATGATATTCTATGGACGCTTTACCAAAATCCACAAAATCTTATGATTTTCTGCTTTTTATCCAAAAAGGAGGTGGTACCCCACGACAGACATCGCACACAACAGAGCATAGATAAGGGTGCTCCCATGGGGTTTCCACAGAACAGACCACGTCAAAATCACACATTACGGTGAGACCAACCACCAACTGTGAGATTCAAGCAACTAGTATGAGTTGACTCATACACTGAAGCACCCTCCCAGCCACTCTCTCTCATGAGATTTCGATTTATGAATGATAGGAGAAAATACTGAGTGGTGAGTCTGACGGGTTGGTCATGTGGCCTGCGCGTGAGAGGGGTGCGATTGGATGAGATCTTTTTTTGTTCTTTGGAAACACATCACAGGAAGTTTCCACCACCTTTCCGGAATAAGACGATATAAGCAACTGGTATGAGTCAGGATGAGTATAAATGACATTTTACCATAAAAAGTTATTATTTGAATCGTAAGGTGTTCATGTCCGTTCACCGTTCACTCTTACCTTTCGAGAACTCCGGAAAAAATACAAGGTGTGTGAAGCAGAAACTTTGCATGAATGATCTCATGCAGCGATGGTGTCAAATCATTTTCACAGAATTTCGATCCTATATTAAACATATTGAAGGTGCCCTGTTTACATGTATT